AAAAGTGGAATTTATGTTACATCTCAGAAGTTTGTGAAAGCAACAAACATAGCATACATTAATGCTTTTAATTTATAGTAGGTTAATTATTAAATATCTGTACTGTATATGTCATGAGCCTGTTGGTTAGGACATTTCTGCATTAATTTGCATGTCAAATGGTAAAAGTAGACTTTTTCAAAAAATAAGACTATACTAGTACTACTACTACTACTGTTACTACTACTACTAATCATCATCATCATCATCATCATCATTATTATCATTAATATTATTATTAAAGTTTTTCATTTCCTAATAAATAATAAATATTAAATTTTATTTCTTAATAAATCTCCTCATTATTTATCAATTTATATTATTTATATATGATATTAGAATACACGTTAGCTTTTGTAAGTGATTTTATGTTTTAGAATAGAATATGTAATGTTCTTAATAATTTTTGTAAAGGAAACATTATTAATTTTTGTAAAGGAAACAGGGCCTATATATTTTATTTACAAATTTTGCAATTAATATGGAAAACGAGTGCATGTTTTTACCAAAACTAATATTGGACTTTTTTTTTTAAATGAGTGTGCGTGTAAAAAAATTGAATTTGCACAAATAAATGATGGGGCTCTTCTCTAAAGAAGTTGTTACCACCCCATTTAGAGGATCATTATAGGCATTTTTTGTTATAACTAACATGGTTCAAGTGATTGATCTGCGACAGAGAATCTATGGGTTTTGAGAAACACTCGTCACTACATTGTTCTTTTCCCAAATGATGCATCATACTATGATCATTTGGCCACGAGTTAAGTCGTTGTTTTGAAAATGCACCCCTGATCAGCCACACCTTTTATAGTACTTTATTACCCTTTTCTTCATTTGTCTTCAATATACTACGCCTTCCTCCAAACTGTAGTCATGTGTTGCTACCCAGTTTACTTTTTTTATACTACAATCCATATATATATATATATATATATATATATATATATATATATATATATATATATATATATATATATATATATATATATATATATATATATATATAAATATATATATATTATTTTATTTTATTTTTTTTAAGAAGAATTTTGTACAAAAAGAGCAGGCTTAGTTTGCTTAGTTTTGTGCATTTTGTCACAGTTTTAAATGTCAAGCTAATTATCTTGGTAAAATTGTCTTCATAAAATTTCACAGTGTTGTTGCATCTTAAATATAACTAGAATCATTTTAAGTTGGATTTCAGGTTATTTATTGATTGCTATTCAACAAAAACCCTTTACTTAAACCTCAGCCTCATATTTGCAGATTTAAAGTATTTTTTAATCCAAGTTTAAAGTTTGAATCCTCGTCCAACAATCAAATGTGTTGAGGAGGATATTAGCTGTTGGAGTATCCTACTATTTAGGACAGACAGAATGCAAATTAGAATACAGAGATAATTTCTGCTACTAAGCATTGTATAATAATGTCCAAATCAAATATATTTCTTAGTCTTCATTTTGCGCGGAAATTTACTTTTTATAAAACAGCAGATGGATTCTTTAGTACAGCATTCCTTTGAGCCTTGCCATTACCATTTGGTAGGCCACTTTCCCTCGCTGCGATGGCTAAAATCACAGCTTTGAGAACTATTGCAGAGCTAGCTGATTGATATTGGTAGCACTTGCAGTGAGTGCCCCTTTTTGCAATAGCAGGAGTCCTGTTTCAATTTTCAAGGATCCTGATAGTTTATAGAGGCTGTCAGTAAAACCCTGCTTCCCCCAAGACTGCTTTTTTTATCTCATCAAACCAAGTAGAGAATACGCCACTTTTCTGGGGAAACATAAGCATTAGTAACATCCAATTTATTGAGAAAGGAACGAGGCGGATGATGTGACCAAATAATAACATGCTACATGAAGCTTGTCAATATGGAATATGTGAATAGAAAATCCATTTATGGTATAAAAAGCTAATCAATCTCAATCAAAAGTAAATCAAAGCAATTAATAATGGTTGATGAAATCTGCAGAGTGCAAACAATCACACAGAATTATTCATAGCAGGAAGTGGAGTATAGAAATAATCTGATAATAGTCATACAGCAGTGAAAGAAGGAAATAATTTCATCAGCTTTCTTTAGAATAGTGTCCAACTGATTTCCTGATAGAAAATCAGCTGCTTGTATGTCAACATGTCAGGCTTCAAATACATATAGTAGGATTTTAGAGAAATTCAGTCAAATCCTTCCAATTTTATTTCGCTGTCCTCACAACAATACAAACAGGATCCGTATCTTTGTAATATATGTTTTGCTTCTTTAGTTTTTACATATTTATCATTGTGATGTGAGAGTTAACATTAATCTCTTATGTTTTATGATTCAACATGTTCAAGTTCAGCAGTCAATTGGATGTCATGGAAACTCACTAAGCCAATTGATTTTCCTATAATTGTGTCTCACATCTCTGAAACGCCTCCTGAGAATGCGTTTTAGATTTACTTCTAGCGTTGGCTACAATGATATGCTGCAGCTGCTAAAATAATAAATGTAACCTTGCTAAGTCCTGTGAAAATCCGCCGCCTCTTTATGGCTGCATAAATACATAACTGTGCATGTTAATTTGCACACTTTGTTTGTAATTCATAGCCAGATGAATGTTTATCACTGCTGGCATCAATTAAAAGTACTTGGGTGTTTTATGCAGATTCTCAAACAGGCTGTAAACTGACAAACAGCACTGCACATTGTCCATCATGACTTTATAGCACATGCTAGCAATCAAATATAAGCAAAGGCAAAAATATTTTTGTCCATATTTGTTGAGTCAAACCACTTTTTTGACAGATCCTGTGGACAGATTACAAATACAATTTTGACTCATCCCTCAGTTTGCAAATGGCAATGAATGAAAAGAGTAACATCTGGTTTCTGTTGTGAGTCCTGTCGGTGAAATTAGTTTTATTTAAATAGACTGTTAAATCACTCGTCAATGTCCATTTCTGGATTCATTGTGGATTCAAGGTTAATGTGTTTCACTTATTCTTTAATTGTGGCTTCTGAAAGTTTATATTTGATTTTATTCACAATTTAAGTCCAGCAGCTGCAGTGGTAGAGGAGCAAACAACCAGCTCTCTCTTTCATCCTCAATACCATGACTGAGGTGAGACCCTTAAACAAGGCACTGTAACCCAAACTGCTCACCCACTAAAAATTAAATAAATAAATAAATAAATAAATAAAGGTTGCCTGCTTTTCTGTGTGTGTGTGCGTGTGTTCATTTGGATGGGTTAGTTGCAGAGCACAGTTTCCAAGTATGGTACACCATTCTTGGTCATCTGCTATGACTTTCCTTTCGTAGCTATTTCATGTAATAAAGTATTGATAATTTCAAATATTTTTGTCATCAATTTTTTTAAGTCAATGTGATCTGTGACCCTGGACCACAAAGGAATTTTATGTTACACGGCTATAGCCCAAAATACATTGTATCAAAATGATCAAAATTACTCTCAAAATATAAATTTTTCTAATGCCTATTTTTGTTGTTGTTGCTATAATAAGTAAAGTAAGTTTTTTTGTAATTGGTAATATGAATTGCTACAGACTTCATTTTGGCAGTTTTAAAGCCAAGTTATTTTTTAAACCCTTGAGATATACAATTTTTAAATAGTTGTATAATGACCAAATATTCTTTAATTCTTTTCCTTTTCGACTTAGTCCCTATATTAATCAGGGGTCCCCACAGTGGAATGAACCACCAACTTATCCAGCATATGTTATTACGCAGTGGATGCTCTTCTAGCCACAACCCAGCACTGGGGAAACACCCATACATTCTTGCATTCACACACATACAATACGGTCTATTAAGCTTATTTAATTTACCTATACTCCATGTCTTTGAACTGTGGGGGAAACTGAAGCACCAGAAGGAAACCCACACCAACACAGAAAAAACATGCAAACTCCCCACAGAAATACCAACTGACCCAGCCGGGGCTCAAACCAGTGACCGTCTTGCTATGAGGTGACATCGCTACCCACTGCACCACTCTGTCGCCAGCCAAATATTGTCCCATACTAAAAAAATATACATTAATAGAGATTTAATTAATCAGCTTTCAGATGGTTTATGAATCTCAATTAAAAAGGACTTGCATGACTGGTTTTGTCGTCCACGGACCACTGTCACATTTTTTTGACAATTGACAGCTGGTTCACAGCAAGCGCGATAACTATAAATATAGCAAGAAATATTTTCACGTGCACACTGATGAACAATACTGATCTGTTTATTTTTTTGCATTTTTTTGGCATTACTCCATTCATTGTCACAATCAAATGTCTGCAGTGTGCTACTAGTGAGTTTGACCATTGAATCCAGCTCATGTAAAAATTAATCGATCTAATCAAACAGAGAATTTAGCAAACACAGTCAGTGAAGTGGAATAAAAACAAGCTATTTTGCCCATCATTTCAAAAGAGAGAAACCACAGATGCAGAAACTACCACAAAACACATAAGGGACTTTTTTGATATGCTTCAATATGCCAACCTGGCTTTGCTCGCATAAATTCCATGTATTTTAATTATTATTTTCCATGATATAACCAATATTTTCCGAATTATTATCTTTTTTATTACCCTTTTGTCATTTGTAGCTTTAATTGCACAAGCCCTTTCTTTTTCAACAGATTCTGACTGGCCGATGGTGTTTTATCATTTATTTGCAGGGGAAAATAATTCATGAAAAGTCATTCCAACAATACAGTTTCTCTACATCTTTACCATTATTATAGCTGTGGTCTAAATTCTGAAAACTCCATAAAAACATGCAAACTCGGCCTCCTGGTTCAGCCGGGAACCAGCAACCTTCTTACTGTAAGGCAACTGTGCTAACCACTTAGCCATTTTGTTTATAACCCACAGTTCAGTTTTGAATGCAAACATAATTTTTAACAATTGAGTATTGTAATAAATGCCAATTCTTCTAGGGGATAAAAAGTTCTCTTACCTTCAGAATGATGAGACAGGGTTAGAAGGCTCACACAAGAGGCACCAATTCCTGATCCAAATACAGTGATGCGATTGGAATCGCCACCGAAATAGCCAATGTTCTCGCTTATCCAACGCAGAGCCTGGATCTGGTCCAAAAGCCCATAATTCCCTTTAGCAGCCTGGTCTCCTGTGCTGAGGAAGCCTGTAACAAAGCAAGCACACATTGCATTTAGAGAAATAGCAGTAACTTAGGGACGTTCTTAAGACGTTCTCTCACTTTTTGCTTGTAGATGATAGATTAAAACTGGCTGCAGACTCATTTTATGGGGGGACATGAGGCATATCTTCAAAATATTACATTTTATTCTACAACCATTCAGAAATTCTACATATTTGTGTTCTTTTAATGGTATTTACTGACATGAGATAAGTAAAGCATGAACATTAAAGAAAGCAGAACAGTATTACCAAATGTTGACAAAATAAGTAATGGTGAACAAATGTTAAATAAAATGAATGAATACTAAACACAAAATAAATATTTTATATAACAAATTCATTGTTCACGATAGCTTGATACATTATTGCTTACAGCTAACTACTGGGACCCTGTAAAATCCTATCGTTTAAACTTCAAATAGTCCTTTCAATTTTACACACTTTTGTGACAGATTGTCTAGCAGGGAATGCAGCAACAAGACTGAAACAATGTAAATCAACGCTTTGCCTCCCAAAAGAGCTATTATTAGTACTGGTGACGACGTAACACATTTTCTGATACACAGAGGCTAGATGTTTTATCTGGATTGCTTTCTGTCTTCACTCCAACACTGGATGGTTAGCTTTGACAACCTGACATCTCTCGAGGGGAAGCCTCAAATTGCAGGGCTGGTGTTAACATGCGTGGCACTGTGTGTTTGTGTGTATGCAATAGAACATGAGAGATTGAAACAGAGAAAGGGAGAGTGGGTGAGAGAGATAAGAGAGGATTCACTAAACATCTGTGTGAATTTACTGTGCAGAGTTTCAGTGCAAACCCCTGTCAGTCAAAAAAAAAAAAAAAAAAAAAGAAGCTAACTCAACAATGAAAAGTTGCTGTTAATTTATTTACTCTCAGACCAAGATGGAGGAGACTTTCTTGTTCAATAGAACACACAAGATAATTTTTTAGCTTTTAATACATAAAATGCAGTCAAAAATGCAGACATGAAAAATGCTTAACTGAGATTATACTTCAGATAATAATTTTGTAAAAATAAAATCTTTGTAAAAAATGAACCTATATAAAAATCAAATAAACTGTATACCAATCACATATTTAAAATACAAGGTAATGTTTGGATTTCACAGATATAAAAATATACAGCAGGTAAAATAAATAATAAACACAATTCTACTACTTTATTTTCTTTTTCTGAAACCAATTGAGTTTTGATGTGCTCAATACTTATTTTGTGTTCAAGTGTATACAGTATATACAACATAAATTTCTAAATATTGTAAACATGTCTTTTTACACAAATACATTTTCAACCATTAGATTAAAATATATGTTAATACAGTGCTCAGCATAATTGAGTACACTCTATTTTGAAAATTAATATTTTTTCCATTTCTCAATGAAAAAAGGCAATGCATTTTGGTGATTATATGATTTAATAAACATATATATTTATAAATGTAATATTTTAGTCACCAGACATATTTAGAAATTGAAAGACAATTCAATAAATTCAAGCTAAATATTGCAAAAAAACAAAAACGAAAAAAAAACATAAAAACAAAAAACAAAAACAAATTACAACCTACAAAATTTCAACAAAATATTTCAATTTTTTGCTTCTCTTGATTTTTCCTCTTTTGAAATTTGTATTTAATATTTTTACATATAAATTTGGCTGTAATAGTATTTGGACCGTTATTGTAAGTTAATTTTGTTTGATAAGCTCAAGATTTGGCTTCAGTGCTGACTAATTTAATGTATGCACAAATATAAGATTCTATAGCTTCCTATTAAACATATGAGTTTAAAAAATAGATTTGTGAGGGGTGTATTTACCAATTCAACTATAAAATTTAAATATAAAAATTTATTCAAATATAAAAAGTACAATTATATCTGTTCATATTTAAATGCTGTATGTGGATATATATAACTCATATTAAGCAATGACAAAATGTGCTGAAATAATATTACAAAATGTATATTTAAATGTAATCATAATTTATAAAAATCCCAGTGTAGATCGTTGTTTATGATCAATATAGTCAATAAACTGTAAAAAATAAATCAGTAAAATTTATGGTAAAAAAAACGGCAGCTGTAGTTGCCAGTACTTTACCGTTAAAAAACAGTACAAACCGTAAAAGTAATTTTTCATTTTTATGGTAAATTACAGTATTTTATTAATTTATAGAGGTAATATGTCTGTATTTTGAATGATCAACATATACACATGTCATACATGCCATCTATATTAAGGAAACATACCGTTAACCAGGTTATGGATTTGTACTGTAGCATTTTTACAGATTTTTACCGTTGAAATCATGGCCATGTTTTAAAGTGTAGCATATCATAAGCGTTAAAAGGAATTTGCTTGTGAATAAATATTGTAAACGTGATCTCAATTTAATAGCTGTGTCTAAAAGCTTCAGAACACAAGAAGGCATGTCTGAATCTAAATTTGCATAAAATTCTGTTTGCTGAGCGGCTTTCAAGTTGTTTTTTTTTAAATCAGCATTCAGAGCAGCTGGTTATTATAGCACAACCCTGTGCGAGCAAGTTGGTGGTTGTTGTAAAAAACGAAAGTGGCATATTATAATGTGGGTGAAAGATGAAAATTAATGCATGATCCTACTTTGATTCGACATAACCTGCTGAACATGTTTGTTGCCATTGGTTGGTTGGTGTTTGTCGATGTGGTGTGAACTGATCTTAAAGAGAACACTGTTCCACTATGGATGGAAAGTAATATTTACTATCTTGTCCCCCAAATCCATCTTTTATTATGCTTTCATCAGGAACAAATCAATTAAACAGCATGTAATATATTAGCATATCAAACAAAGCATGTTTTTTGAAATGCTGCTTCCTGTACAGAAGAGCGTGCAAAGATAAAGGAAATAGGTTTATAGAGAGCAGCTTTCCTGAACATCTCAAGGGCATTGGCAGACATTCTGCACTTCATTATGTCACTTTATATTGACGTACAGCCACACGCTGAATTAAATGAGAGTCAGAGCTCATCCTAGCACACAACTAGATGTTTAAAATAGCATTCATTTGACAAAAAATTAATAAATCATTTACAAGTTGTATAGCATATTGAGCAATTTTACAGTAGTTACTGCAATGTAAAATTTCATTTCTAATTTTTTTAAACAAGCACAACTAGCTTGGACTGAACATGATTGTGTTCCAATTGGAGATGTTCATGATAATCTGAAAATGAGTTCCAGAACTATCACAGAATACCAATCAGACCAGCCCACAGGCAATTTTTTTTGTGTGAGTGTGTTTTAATTTGAAATGTGGTAGCCAATGTTTTCACTGAAAAGCAATTAAAATGTTTCCCTTACTGTACATCATAGTTCTATGCAGGGCTGTTGTAGAATTTATAAACCACTGGGGTTAAACTGAGGTTGAACTGAGTCATTATTTTTTGCTTCTGCTTCAACTTGTTATTGTCTGTTACATTACTTCAGTATGTTCATGTTATTTAAGGCCCTCACAAAACGGTATAATTATAAACACATAAAAAACATAGGTCATTTTATGCAAAAAACATAAGCTGATTTACAATATTAGTAGGGCTTAACATCAGTAAGTTGATGAAAAAGATTTTTTGATCATTTTTACAGCTATATTTACTAGTGCTTTTGCAGTTTTTAGATCAGAATAGAACTTTGCAAGACAGTTAAGTTTATTTCTCAAAACAACAATGTGTACAAATAGCAAAATGATAATAATTCCTTATATTTATATAGCAGTTTTCTGGACCCTCAAAGTGCTTTACACATTTTTAGGGGGAATCTCTTCAGTATGCAGTATCTATCTGGATGATGCAATGGTAGCTATATTGCGCCAGGCCACACCCCACACCCCAGCTGATTGGCGTAGAGAGACAAAGTGATGAAGCCAATTATGATATGGGGATGGTTAGGAGGCCACGATGGACAGACCAGTGGTTAAATTTGACTAGGATGCCGGGGTTAAACCCCTACTGTTTTTAAAGGACATCTTGGTATTTTTAACGACCACAGAGAGTCAGGACCTTGATTTAATGTGTTATTCAAAAGACGGTGTTCACTGAGCAGTATAGAGTCCCCGCCAGTATATACTAGGGTGTTAGGACCCACACAGACTAAAGGTTGAGTGCCCCCTGCTGGTCTCACTAACACCACTTCCTGCGGCAACCTAACTTTCCCATGTGGTCATACATCCATGTACTGACCGGGCGCAGCCCTTCTTGGCTTTAGAGGGGCGACCACTTGAGAGCAAGCTGCTGGCCATGGTTTACCGGCAAAAAGCTAGTCTCTTGCTCAAAATCCTTAGTTCATCTCTCAAAACTAAATTTCTGTGTCAATGAACATGTCAGTGCCATCAGAATGACAAGACCTTATGTCACTGCGTATGGACAAGACAATTTTTTTTCGAAATACTTACTAGTCATGTTGTCAATATCATTTGTTCATTTTATTTTCGGCTTAGTCCCCTTATTATTCAGTGGTCACCACAGTGGAATGAATCGCCAACTTATCGAGCATATGTTTTACGCAGTGGATGCTCTTCCAGCCGCAACGCAATACAGGGAAACACTCCTGCACACACTCACATACACTATAGCCAATTTTAGCTAACCAAATTCACCTGTACCGCATGTCTTTGGATTGTGGAGGAAAATGGAGCACCCTGAGAAAATGCAAACACGAGGAGAACTTGCTAACTCCACACAGAAACTCCAACTGACACAGCCGAGGCTCGAACCAGTGACCTTCTTGCTGTGATGCACCCCCATGCTGCTCTAAACTATGGTGAAATTATTATTTTTTGCTATTTGTGCTGTAATTGTTGATGGATCATGTCATTGTGATAAGGAAAAGAAAATACATCACTGCATAGCTCAAAGAAAAATAAAGCTAAAATAAAAATGTGAACATAAGAAAATCTCCTTTGAGATGCACCTTTATTAGAACAAG